TATGGGGGCAACAGAGCAGTGTTTGGAGGTCAGCGGAGGCCACTAAGGTGGGTGAGTGCCACATAAACCATTTCCAAACGCCCCACTTTGCAATCACATTTTGTGCTTTTAGAGTAAACACACTGCTGCAGCTGGGGGAGGGGGGGTGACTGGGAGGGGCCCACCCCCACCGCCCCAGGAAGCTGCAGGGAGGTGTCTGTCTGTCCCGGCCTCCCCTGGGCCTGGGCCGTGTGTCACCCCTCATGCTGCCCGTGACAGCAAATAATTCTTATTTTCTCCAGTGACAGAGCCAAAGTGCCAAGTAAATCTCATCCACAAGCTAACGCTCCCGGGGAGGTGCCAGAGCGTGCCCTGGGGACGGGGCCCAGCTGGCGAGGGGGCGTGTGGTGGGAGCAGACACTCAGATGTCAGCACCACGGTAAGAGCCACAGACACCGAGGCTAACGGAAGCCCGAACCCTTTTCTGCACAGGCTGATGGTGGTCACCGGGGGGTGGGGCAGCCTGCGGGGCTGGGACACCTGACAGGTTTGGTCCTCTCGCCAATAGTGAGCAGGACCAGCGGAGATGGTGGGGCTGTGGAGGGCAGAGTCCCAGAGGATGGGTGATGGGTGAGTGGGGGGTCCCTGGTCAGTCTTCTCTCTCTGCCATGCTTCCTGGGGGATGGGGGAGGGAGTGTGCTAGGAACTGGGGAGCTTTGAGAGATGAGGTGGGTCTGGGCAAGAGGGCTGCCCATGGGAGGATGTTGTCAGAGGCACCCGGTAGGTGTGGAGGCAGCCCCTCCCCCTCACTCCAGGTCTGGGATGAGGACCATTTTTTTCTGTAAAGGGCCAGATGCTAAACATGTCTGACTTCTCAGCTCTGCTGTTGTAGAGCAGAAGCCGCCATAGATGATGCTAAATGAGTGGGTGTGGCTGTGCTAATAAAGGTTTATTTATAAAAACCAACTGGAGGCCCTGACTGGTTTTTCTCGGTGGCGAGAGCAGTGGCGCACAGACCAAAGGTCTTGGGTTCAATTCCCAAAGGCACATGTGGGGGGCAACCAATCGATGTGTCCCTCACACATGGCTGTTTCTCTTCCTCCTTTCCCCTTTGTACCTCCCTTTCACTTTCTCTAAAAATACTCGGGTAAGGATGAAAACAAAAACAAATGGAGGGCTGGATTTGGCCCGAGGGCTTCGCTTGCTGGGCCCGGGAGGATGGGGCACTGGACACAGCGTGCCCCTGGCCCGCGTCTTTCTGATAGGACAGCCTTGAGGGGTTGGATCCAATGAAACCTCACCTCCTAAGAAGTCTCCCGGACATCCTAGTGTCCAGGACCTCTACCCCCTCCTCCCTGTGTGTCAGGGCATGTGTCAGAGATGTAGCTATGGTCCCTGAAGTTCCCATTCTCTGCCTGCTCTCCTGAACTCTAAACTCCACAAAAGCAATGCCTGTGTCCCTTTGTTCAGCCACCTCCTCGGGTCCAGCAGAGGCAGGTGCGCAGGAAGCATGTGCTGCCTAATGAGTGAGTCCAGCTCTGTAGTGCTGAGCCCAGGGCCCATTGGCTCCACATGGCTGCACATGCGGAGCCCAGCCCGGGTCTCGCCTGGCTGCAGACCATGAGGGCCTGTCACACACACCTCCCTGTTTTACGTTTCAGAGAATGATGGTAACGGCGGGCCAGCTGCTGCCGTGCCAACCACCTGGGCCTGCTCTCTGCGGCTCCCAGCCCGGGGCTGAGGACTGAACGTGTCCATCAAGCTCTGGGCAGGCTCAGAGGACACTGACCTCTGAGTCAGTGATGCAGAGGGTCCCTGTAGCAAATGGGGAAACTGAGTCCTGGTGCTGTTGAGGGCAGCTTCTCTCTGTAAAGAAGGGTCTGAGAAGTCGGGTGAGATGGCTGTGGCTGGATGTAAACTTCACCAAAGGAAATCTGTGCTCAGGACACAATTGCCCTGCAAGGACACCCGTTCTGCAGGGGAAAAGCCGGGGCTCAGAGGAGTACCCCATGTCATAGGCTGCTCCTCCTCACCAGCCTGTACGAACACCCTGGGCCCAGTTCTGAGTCCTTTCTCACAGTCCAGTAAACACATCACCTCTGATATCTAAAGGCCCTGCCCTGGCCCCAAACTCGTCTCTTCTCGTGGGGCTCTCTCCTCAGCCCCATCCCTTGCACAGGCTGCCCCCTTCCAGCTCATGGCAGCACCCTCTTTCCAGGTGCTCAGTGCCATTCCCACCCCGCTGATCCCCAGCTCCCACCCTCACCCCCAGGCTGTCCTCCCACAGCAGCCAGAAGGTGCCTGTGAGCACCCAAGCCAAGTCCCATCCCTCCTCAATCCACTGCCCTCCAGGCTCCCATCTCCCTTGGGATGAAGGAAGAGGTGCTCCCTGGGGCCCACAGACCCTGCACAACCTGCTCCCATCACCTCCCTCTCTCACTCTGCTCAGCCACACAGGCTTCCTGGCCGCTTTTCCACCATATCAAGCAGTCCTGCCCCAGGACCTTTGCATGGGCTGTCCCTGTGGCTCACTTCCTCATCTTCAGGGCTCCTGTGTAAAAACAGGACGCTAGTAACAGCACAGTCTACCTTGGCCCCCTCTGCTCTTCACATTTTACTGTAAATCCCATACGTTTTACTTACTGTCTGCCTCTCTCACTGGTGTCAGCTTGAGGACGGGGATCAGGCCTGTGACGTTGGTGTTATTTCCCAGTACTTGTGAGATGAGTGACATGTTCATGAGTGCCAGAGGCCCAGACTCACCCCAGGGCCTGGAGACCCACGCTCTCGCAAGCCCAATAGATGCCCACCACTCAGGTGTCACGGGAACTGCGCAGAGGCTGAGAAGGCAGCAGGAGAGGGCAGCCATTTTTTCCAAACGAGAGAGGGGTCAAAGACAGAGGGTGCTGCTTGACTGTTCCTGCAGAGGGGGCCCACTGCCACAGCCACCTCAGCCTCCACCTGCCTGAGGGCCAGAAAGCCTTCAAGAGGAATCTGTGCAGATACAGCTGAGGACCTCAGCGTGGGGAGGAGCCCTCCTCCCTGGGGGCTGGGAGCTGAGGGGCCAGGCCGCTGGGGAGACCGCTTTCCTGTCGCCCAGGCACCGCTCAGAAATGAAGACACACCGACGACAGGACCTGTAATCGCAGTGCTCATGAGCCTTTAATTCCTTATGAACCTAGAGGCAGGGAAATTAGGCAAAAATACAGCACATCCTTAATCTTGGATGGGAAAAAAATCAGGGTGGGTGGGTTTCTGTTTTTGCACATACCGTCACACATCTTTATGGGAAATGTGCTTCCCCTTTGCTGTGCGGCCACCTGTCTGCTCAAGTCATCCCGAAACCCATGACAGGGGCACGACCCAGAGACCCCGCCATGGCCAGACCCCTCAGACCCCCAGGACCCCGCGGGCCACAGAGTATCTGCCTGCTTCTTTTTATTCTCTTTACAATATAAATAGCATTTTCAAACTACATATGAATACAGAGATGGCGCCACCAGGCGGGCTGCTGCATGCAGAGGGAGACCCCCACATCTCGGTGACTCCCCTCAGTCCCTCCCGCCCCCGCCCACTCGGGCACCTGCCCTCCTCCCCCCACCAAGGGAATGAAAGGTTCTCGGCTCATTTACATACTCTCCATTTTCCTTAAATAGTTTTCTCTGGCCTGGTATTCATTAGAACACTTTTTTTTTTTTTAATTAAAAAAATGTATACACGTAAGTGACGCTGTCAGTCCTGCAGGGAGAGGGCAGGCAGGGATGGAGAGCGAGGCTGAGCGCGGGTCCTTCTGAGCTCATGGGAAAGCCTGTTTCTCTCCCAAGTCCAACCCACCACTGTGAGTGGCAGATTCCTTCAGGTTGAAAGCAGCGCTGTCCTCTCCCTCTCCTCACTCTCTCCCAGACACACGGGTCACAGAAAGGACAGGACGCTGCCAGCCCCACGGGGTCCCAGGAAGCCTTCTCCATGCCCCTTCCCCATGTAGGGCCGCAGCCAAAGCAGGGGCCCCGGGAGCCCGGGGACACAGGCTGGACTGGGCCACTGGGGGCCTGCTTCGGCTGTGTCCTCCCTCCCAGAAAGCCTGGCGCCCATCTGCTCTGGCTGCAGGCCACTCACTTTGGGGCTCCCTCCCCTGAGCAGGCTGAGGATCCTGGGTGGCACCAGGGACAGTCAGTCTGCACAGAGCCCTCTCGCATACTGCAGGCCTCACTGTGGAATGGTTCTCCCGGGGGAAGAAGCAAAAGATGGAACAAACCAGAAGAGATTGTTTATTTGCAAAGGTGCTCAGACAGGAGGGAGGCGCCTCGACGCCGTGGCCAGCACTTGGCCACCAAAAGGTCCTCCAGCTCCTCCTGCCTGGCAGAGGGGGGCTGGCACTGTGGCCAGCTGCGCGGGCCTTCGCAAAGTCAGGGAGAGAGCAGAGTGGCAGGGCGTCGCCTGTCGCTGGGTGTCCTCCCCTCCAGGCCTCACGCGCTTCCCTGCCTGCTCACAGAGGAGTGAGATCTTAAAACAACAACAAACGAAAAATGAGATGCTTTTGTCTCCCTCAGCACGTCTCGGTTCTAATAAAAAGAATATTTTTTGTTTTGTTTTGTTTTTAAAGCAACAAATCTACAAAACAACTTTAGGGACTTCTTTCCTCTTCTTTGTTTTCCTTTTTTCTTGAGTTTTTTAAACAATAAGTATTTATAGAAAGAGCCTCACAAAGGAGATCTATGTACAGGAGTCACAATCTCAAAGGCTGCTCAGGAGGCAGGCAACGCAGTAGCACCTTTTCGAGAAGAAGAGCTTACGGTTTACGAATCTGAGTAGTAGGGGTGGCGCGAGCCCCCGCCGATGCCCCCAGAGCCGGCACGACCCCACTCCCTGAGTCTGGGCCCAGCATCCCGCTTGCTCCTGTCCCCGCAGAGCACGGAGGTAGCCTCTCGGGGCGGGGGGCGAGGACAGGAATTCACAGCAAGCAGATGCGGCCCGCGCCGCCCGCTGTGCTGGGCCGGGTGGCTGGGCGGCGGCCGGCTGTCCTAGAAGGCGGCTCTGGGCCGGCACTGGGCCTGCAGGAGGCTCTCCATGAAGGCCAGGTAGTCTGGGTTCCGCCCCGCGTCCTCGGCGGCTCGCGGAGCGCCCACTCGCGGGCGCTTGGCGGCCTTCACGTCCTCTCCAGAGAAGGCGCTTTCCCGCGGCGCCCCGGTGCTGACTGACTGTGGGACCAAAGCACAGGAGTCAGTGCAGAAGGGGGAGCATGGACTGAAGGTTTATGTCCCCAAGTTCCTGTGCTGAAGCTCTATCCACAGTGTGATGGTATTGGGGGCGGGGCCTTTGGGAAGGCATTAGGCCATGAGGGTGAGACCCTTTGAGAAGGACCCGAGTGAGTGCTGAGTGTCCCCCCTCTGTCGTCTCCCCTCCCCCACAACACACACACAAGGACCCCAGAAGGTGGCTGGCTGTGAACTTGGAAGTGGGTCTCACCAGACACCTGATCTTCCAGCACCCTGACCTTGGACTTCCCACTTCCAGGACCTTTGAAAAACAATGCCTGGTTTCGGCAGCCAGGACAGGCTGAATCAGGGCTCCACTAATTGTCCCTCACCTAACGACCTTCCGAGAGGGACAATTAGTCACCGGGATGGCTTCTCCTTCTCAGTGGCCCTGCCTCTGTGTGTGAGCCTCCCGGCAGGTGGGCACAGAGGGCCCAACACCTCCGCCACTGGCCCTAGAAGGGGGTGGCCGGGCCTGTTCTGTCCCACAGGAGGCCATGAGGAGTGATGGAAGTGCAGCCGCTCGCCTGTGTGGCAGCCCCAGTCCATTCCCCAAGGGAACATGGTGTCTGAGGTCAGCTGGGCACTCCTTCGCACTCCTTCCTCACCCCCCACCCCCCCTCCACCAGCTCTCACTTTGAGCTCTGAATGAGCCACAGCCGCCTGCGCCTCAAAACCTGGCCTTCGGATTAAACACAAAAGAAAGGGAACAGCGAAGGGCGGGGGGAAGAAAAGGCCCGTGGCTTCCACCTCCGGGACTCACTGTTCCCTTTGAAAAGGGATGAGCTTTAGAAAAGTGTCTCTTTTTGCACCGCCAACCTTGGAGCTCAGGTTTGTGAGCGGCGGCAGCTGCGCCGCGTGCAGGACGTGTCGCCGTGCGCCTGCCTGGTGCAGGTTCGTCTCCTCCTCTCTGCGCTCTTACTGGGAAGGGCCCTCCAACGGTCCCCATCTGCCAGACCATACTCACTCCCTGGGAGCTGCCCCCCAGGGGAGCAAAGGCCAAGGCGAGGAGGTCAAGGCCACATCCCATGACTCCTGAGGGCTCCTGAGGGCAGCCACTTACCAGCCGTGACCGGACCCTCTTGGGCAGCTCCTCATCCAGGGTGAAGATGTCGCCGCGCTTCACTGTCAGCTGGGACCCATCCTCAAACTCCACCTGCCCGGGGGCACAGTTCTCAGGCTGGTGCCCAGCACAAGGACTCACTCCCAAAGTCCCGCCACCCAGGCCACTGCCAAGAAGGGAGCTGGTGTCCAGGGCATCCCCACCGGCCACTCATGTCCCCCTCTCATCACTAAGGGCAACAGGAGGAAAAGGGATGTGGCTACAAGTGAAGGAGGCCTGCCCAGCCAGCCTAGCTCAGTGGTTGAGCATCGACCTATGAACCAGGAGGTCACGGTTCCATTCCAGTCAGGGCACCTGCCCGGGTTGCGGGCTCAATCCCCAGTATGGGACGTGCAGAAGGCAGCCAGCCAATCAATGATTCCCTCTCTTCTATCTCTCTTCTACCTCTCCCTTCTTCTCTGAAATCAATGTATATATACATAATTTTTTTCCCCAAAGTGATGAAAGGTCCAGATTGTTTCTCTGCTAAGAGAAAGCAAAACAGCAAAGAATTCGCAGTCATCATCTGTGGTGCTGGGTCATGGGTGGTTTTCTTCTAGGGTTCCACGCTTGTAAATAATTTTTCTTCCACAATCATAAGAAGGAACAACCATCCGTTTTCATTTTAAAAAAAAATCAGGAACACTGAGCTATATGCTTAAAAATGGTTAAATAGTACATTTTATGTTATCTATGTCTTCCCACACAAAAAATCGAGAAAACGTCTGTAAGGGGGAAATATTAGTCAATTTGAGGCCCCTTCCAGCTTAAAACTATCACAAGCCCTAACTTTCTGGGTTAAGTGGGCAAAGACGCTCAGTACTCAACAGCACACTCAGGCGCCTCCTACGCCTGGAAGACAGGACCCTGCTCACCTGGTAGATGTGACTGGTCACAGAGGAGATGAACTTGGCCTTATAGATGTTACCGTCAGTCCACCGGAGTTCAACAAACTCCCCCTCGGGTGGGGGTCCCAGCCGGACACAGTCTCGACTCTGTTAGAAACAGGAATATGTGTGGTGGGGGGGGAGGGGGAGGTGTCAATCAGGGGAAAAGGAGACATATGTAAAGCTTTGTGGGGGAGGGGAGCAAAAATGTGGCAGGAGGTGAGATGGTGGGCTCTGTGGGGTAGATCCTCCCCAGGCTCTCCTGCCTGGGGAAGCCAGTGGCACTCTGAGCTTACAGGATCGGTGCTGGGCAGGGGAGGGAGGTGGGGGTGATGCAGCGCCCACCCTGGGGGGCCGCCCTTGCTGTAGGCTCATCTAGACTGACAATGCTTTCTGCTCTCTTCCCTGCCAGGCCTGTGGCCTAGACCTGTTCAATGGGTCATAGGGGGCCCTGACACAGGTGACTCCTTTGAGGGATGTGGGCCCCTCCTGACTGCTCAGCCTCTGCCCACCCTGTGCCCGCCCACCGCTCACAGTGATGCTCTCTGGGTACAGGTTGTCACTGTAGGACCCGTCCTCAAAGTTCACTTCGTAGAAGGTCTGCGTGGTGGCGCCGATCACGCGGCACCGGTAGTAAAGCCCGTTGCGGTTCTTGGTGATGACCACCTGGCCTAAGGACACAGCTCTCAGGAACTGGACCTGGCGGAGGGAGAAGCCGCGTCAGCGCTCAGGCAGGCGGCGGGCAATGGGTGGGGGCGGAGGGCTGGGCACTCACGGTGTGGCCCCCCGACTTGTGCTTGAAGCAGGTGATGGAGACGACGTAGGGCCAGTCATCCGGCTCCATGAGGACCCCTGCGGCGTGGGCGCAGGTCACGTGGAAGGAAGTGGAGCAGTGCTCGCACGAGCACTGGATACAGGCCCCAGACACCTTCTTCATCCGCTTCCGGCAGTACACACATTTCTGAGGAGACATGGAGAGAAAGTGGGGCTCTGGCCGGCACCTGGGACTGGAGCCCCCCTGAGTTTCCAGGACTGTTTCCTAGGAGTGACCCCCAAGGCCCAGGGCCGGGAGACAGAAGCCCCGGCAGCCCGGCCTTGGCTGGAGTCACCTGGGAAAAGCCCAGGGAGTCCGGTGAGCAAGGGGCGGAGGGCCTCGCCACAGAGGAGAGCCCCTCAAACCACTGGCCTGTGGCTCCCTCCCACCCCAGGAGCACTGCCAGGACCCTGACACTCGGCCCTCCACAGAGGTGCCGGCAGCAGGCACCAACAGCCGCGTGGCAGAATACAATTCAGCCAAAAGAAGCAGGACGCACTGACACTCATTACGTGGTGGGCCTTGAACACAGGATGCTCAGTGAAAGAAGCCAGACCCCAAAGGCCACACAGTGTGATTCCATTCATGGGAAATGTCCAGGCAGGCACATCCAGAGACAGGAGGCGGATCACCAGGAGCAGGGGGGCTGAGGGACTCTTTTGGGGAAGACAGAAAGCTCTGGAATTAAAGGTGATAGTTGTACAAATCTGTGAAGGTATTAAAAGCTACTACCCAATGGCTAACTTTACAATAGTGAATTCTATCCTAACTTTGAATAAAAAGCACTGCCGAGTAGCTTCCTTCCTAAGGAGGAGGGTCTGCGTGAGGGCGTTCCTGTGGTGGGAACGCCCCTGCCTGGAGTGACTGCTCCTATGGCCTCAGCATCCCGGCACCCCCACACCGTGGCTCAGCATCGCCAGGCCCGTGCTGCCGTCACTTTGAGCATTTAATAAGCAGCCTTTATCACTCTGTAAGCCATGTTCAAAAGCCAGATAAGCACGGCAGCCAAGGGCGCCGCAGGAGCTGCCACACCGATCGATAGCAATGAGATCTCATTATTAAACTGTCAATATCGAATTCTCCCACCGGCCTGTGGGATGCACTGACATACAACATGCCCCACACGGCATTAACCTCGAGCCCCAGGCCTTCCGAGAGCAGCGGTGAGCACAGCACCTGAGGTCCCCGAGGAGCCAGCGGGGCTCCCGGTCTTGCGCTTGTCACCGCCCCACCTGAGGCCCGGGAGAAACCATCGGCTTGGCCTAACTCAAAACACAACCATCCCCCGGCCCCAGTGGGTGGCAGCTCATTATTCTGAGTTTCTGCATCAGAGAGAATGTGGGCCAGGCCATCTGTCAGGAGCTGAGCGTGGCGTGGGCCCAGAGTCTGGGTTTTTCCAGCATCCATCCCGCCTGGTGAGGGGATGAGCGCACGGCACAGGCCACTGGGCAGACAGGGCCAGCCCCTATTCACCAGAACCACTCCCCCCCTCCCCCGCAGGCACCAGGGTCGGTGGCCAGGGAAGACTGGGAGACTGATGGACGGAGACCTGGAGTGACTGTTCCCGAACATGTGGCCTGTGGCCCGGGAAGATGGGCGGGCAGCTGGGCAAGCAGGAGTTAACCACTGGCTTCCTTGCGTGGCTCCATTAAGCAGTACAAGCCAGCCTCGTGTAAAAGGATTTTTAATTCATCGTTACAAGTGCTGGTAATGAAGAGGCTGCAAGCTGGAAATGTCAGATGCTCCATAAAGCGTCTGGGGGAGGATGGATTACGGGCCGTGCACTGCACCATCACTCCACCTGAATGATGAAGCTTTTATGCCTGTAATCACCTGCAGGCCACCAGCCCCTCCTGATTGCCCGTCTGCATCCAGCACTCCATGACTGAGGTCCCTGTCCCCCACTGGCTCCGGCTGGTGCCCACTCAGCTCTGCCTGCTGGCCCAGCACCTATGGGCTTGAGGTGGGTGTCTCTGTTCCTTCCCACAGGACTCCCCACCAAGCCCACTGCCCACAGCCCAAGTCCTCTGCCTTCTGCCCTCTGCAGGCACATCAAAACCCAGGACTGCCCAGGGAATAAAATGGGAAGAAAAAAGCTGGGAAACAAAACAGGAAGAAAAGACAGCCATGGATGCTTCGGATGCCCCAAAGTTCCAGCTTCCAAGTGCCACACAACAGTCCCCATGAGAGCTGCCACCCCCACATCCCTGAGTGGGACACACCCCAGCATGGCTGCCCCACACTCACAGCAACGATAAGCCTGAGAGCAGGCACAGTGCTCAGACAGCATAAGCAGGGCTTTGCTGTGAGGCCCCCAGTGTGTACCATGAGGATGCTAGAGAGGGGAAGGCTGAGCACAAAGAGGCCAAGGAGTATGTTTGGAGTCACACAGCTGGCTGGTGGCCGAGCCAGGAAAGGAAGCCCGTGCATGCTAACAGTCACCCTCTGCCCACACTGCCTGCTGCCCCAGAGGTTAACCGAGGATGGCCACATGCTCCTTAGATGGGAAGCTTGACGTAAACCACAAGGGGTCAGTTATGAACTCTAACAACTCAACAGCAAGCACACAACCCAATTTAAAAATGAGTGAAGGACCTAAATAGACATTTTTCTAAAGAAGATGTACAGGTGGCCAATAGGTACAAAAAGGTGCTAGCACAATGATCATCAGGGAAATCAAAACCACCATGAGCTATCATCACAGGCATCAAGAAGACAAGAGTTAAGTGTGGGTGAGGATTTGGAGAAAAGGGAACCTCATGCACTGTTGGTGGGATGCAAACTGGTGCAGCCACTATGGAAAACAGTATGGAGATTCTTCCACAAATTAAAAACAGCAGACATATGACCCAGCCATTTTTATTCTGGGTTTATATACAGAGGAAATGAAAACAGGATGCTGAAGAGATAAGTATAGAGGGTGGGGCAAAAGTAGGTTTACACTTGTGAATATGCAGAACACAGTTTACTCTTGCAGTATCATTTATTTTATCATTTGCCATATGAGTGATTGTAAGCCTACTTCTGCCCCACCCTGTATACACCTCTGTGTTCTCTGTAGCATTATTCACAATAGCCAAGACATGGAAACAATCCAAGTGCCCACGATAGACGAATACATAGAGAAATGTGGTCCATTCGCACACTGGAGTATCCAGCCATGATAAAAATCTTGCCATTTGAGACAACATGAAGGGACCGTGAGGGCACTATGTCAGTGAGGGAACCAGACGCAGTGGCCAAATGCTGCAGGACCCCACTGAAAGCAGGCGCGCACAACGGTCAGAGAAGCAGCTGGAGGGGTGGGTGTCAGGGGAGGGGACGTTGCCAGCCGACAGGTCTGAGCTGCAGTTCCACACGCTGCATGCCCCAGAGCTCTGCCACACATCCTTGTGCCTATAGCTAACGATACTGGACTGTGCACCTGAAATTTTATTCAGAAGATCTCACGCTAAGTGTTTTTACACAATTTTCTTTTTAAAAAATGGGGCTAGTTAGGTAGCAAGGAAAGCACAGGGCAGAGGGTGAGGCTTCCGCTTATGCAAAAGGTGGGAAGTGCATGGAGTGTGTGAAGGACCTCTCTGCGCAGAGGCGGGAGCAGGAGCCTGTGCTGACCCGAGGGGCCTCTTCTCTGCGCACCTCTGGGCCTCTGGCTTTTGGACCTGTGCCTTTGGGGCCAGGCAGGAAGTAATAGGTTTGGCAAGACTGACATTGATAGCATCTGGCTTCTTGATGCTTCCTTCCCCCTCCCCGCACAGGACAAGATCCAGGGGTCCTACCAGCTTCCACCGCTGCTCAGGGATGGCGCTGATGTCCACAGGGTGGCGCTCCATCACGTTCAGAAACCGAACTTCAGGGACTGCAATGGCGCAGATCACATGGACCCACCTGGGGGAGAGGGGGAGTCAGGGGTCATGGGTGCCCTCTACCTCCTCCCTGCCCCTTGCCCTCTCACTCTATTGGCACAGCCCCTGTCCATAGCGCTATTGCTGGCCAGTCAGGGCTTATAGGACTTATAAAAGATCATCTAATCTGAGTGATTATTTGCTGCTCCTGGTCCCCCAACCCCAACTCGAGGCGCTGAGGAGGAACCGACACCTCTAGGACACACCCAGGAGAAGCAGCACCCCTTCTACCCACCTCTTGTCTGTTGTCATCTGCAAAGCTCCTCCCCGGAGGTTGCACAGGCAGCATTCCTGCAGGAACAGACAAGCCCATGGTGAGGGGGGGGTCAGGGGAGGGCTGCCCCCATGCTGCTCTGGGGTCTGGTCCATCCCCTGTCCCCCGGTCCTTACATTTCAAGCTAGCAGTCACCAAAGGGAGGGGTCGGGACTGCGTCGGGCTCCACCCCCTCACTGCCAAGGTGAAGAAACCAAGGCCCTTGGAGGTGAGGTCGCCAGCCCAGGGTCACTCTGCGGGATCGGGCAAGCCCAGGGCCCAGGCCTGGCACCCCCATGGGGCTGGACAGCTCTCAGAGTACCACCCCAGCTGCAGGGGTGAGTTACCGCAGTCCAGGCGTGGGCTGTGCACCGGGAACACGTCCAGCCTTCGTTGACCAGCTCCGGGCGGATGCCGTAGCAACCTGGAAGACAGCGGAGGACGGCTGAGCCAGGTGCACCTGTCACTGCAGCTGCACGCAAAACTCGGGGCCTTCTGGAAGCCAGCCTCGGCTCTGGGGGAACTGCTCTCACCTCCCTACCTCAGTCCCAGTCACGCACACAGCAGAAGGGTCTGGAAACAGATGCTGGGAAGGAGATCAGGGCCCTGTCACTGGCCCCCACCTCAAGCTCTGCTGAGCTATGACCCTGTAAAGTGACCAGGAAATTGTATAACATGCAAAGTCAGCCTTGTGGACACTGGGGTTCGGATGGGCTGGGCTGGGTGCACCGGCCCAGTGTTCAGGCGAATAGTTATTTCTGATACACGAGTCAGAGGTTCTGAGTCACCAAGGAGGTTTGCTTTGGAATGTGGTCATGGTTCAAAACAGAGAGAGGGCACAAAGGAAGAGGCACATGGACGGTGCTGCTCCCCAAAACAAGAGGCTCTGCTCACCCTTGGATCACTGCCCAGCAGCACTGCAGGCAGCAGCCAGGTGCCAAGGGACAGCAAGTGCCCAAGAGCCTACACTGGACCCCCTTGTGCTCTCCCCTGAGGCTTTCAGCCAAGGTCAGGCCTGGGGGGCCTGGATCCTGCAGGAAGCAGGGGCTCACTTGCCTTCAGAGCCAAGTCTCAAGGAACTCACCTATGCTAAGCCTTCTGCCTCCTGAGGTTAGTGAAGTACCTCTTTCCCTGAGAACCCAACCACAGGCCCCTCTAGAGTGGTCCCCGGGAGTCTGCCGGGAGAGCATCTCACGGAATCAGCGGGCTCTCAGACAGGAGACAGAATGACCCCGAGTAGCCTCTGCTGGAACAGAGGAGGGACAGACAAGAGACAAAGGGCTGCTTTCCTCTGTAGGGAGGGAAATTACATGGTCCCAGAGGCTCTCTTTCTTCCTGAGATCTCAACCTCTCATTCCCTGCCCTGATGCCTAAGAAGGGGGCAGAGGTCCATTCTGCTGTCTCCTTGGGCTATGCTTCAGGGTCGGGAGAGGGTGATTGCTGCCAGGAGGCATTTCCGATCTGGACCTCTCTAGAGTCATAACTTTACCATCAACTCTGGCCCAAAGCAGATCATTGTGTCACATAACAAACACCTAATCTCTTCCTGGGCTCCCGGGCCCGAGGGCAGGGCAAGGCTCAGCAGAACTGGCTGGAAGGAGGCGGACAGGCAGGCCACCTTGGCCGGGGGAAGAGCAGGAGGTCTTCCCCTGAAGGCCAGGCCCCCGCCCCAGGACCCAGGGCCTTTGACAGCCCCTAAACAGCAGCCGAGGGGAAGGAACTCTTGCTCCACAGCCGAGAAGGCGGCCATCCTAAAAGGGCGAGCACGACTGCATGCCGCAGCCCCCACATCCTTCAGCCCAGCCTGCCTGTCGTGCGGGACCCCACTCACTGGCATGGACCTGCAGGCAGCACTTGGCACAGGCGATCAGCAGGCTGGTCCCGTCGTCACCGATGTAGGAGTTTGCGGGGAGGGGCTCTGTGTTCTCGGCGCTGGAGGTGAAGCACATCTCAGGGATCAGCGGCCGTGTCTTCCGGCCACATTTGGAAGGTGGTACAGAAGGGCCCTCCCCGAGGGAGGCCTGCGGGGCCTCCTTCTCCATCTGTAGGGACTGTAGAAGAGGGTGGGGGTGGGGGAGGTTTCAGTGGAGAGCCCAGCATGGGGCCACCTGTCATTAAGCCAGACTTCAAGGCCATCCTTGCCACCTCCCCTGGTCCAGTCCTCAAGCTGCTTCTATATCCAAACACGCCCCTAACAGGCCTCCCACTGTCCCAAGTGTCGCACTGAGGCCTCCTTCCAAGATGCCTGCGGCCTCCCCAGTGCACCCTCCAGTCCTCACTCTGCTCTCCCTAACACAGTCAGATCCTGTCCTGCTCCCACTGAAACCCTCCGTTAGGGTCACATCCGGACACAGCACCGACACCACCTTGGTGCCCTCACCCTCTTGCCTTCACAGTCCTTTACCCACTTCCTCTAGCCACAGGGGCCTTGCTCTTCCTCCAACACCCCAGATGCCATCCTGCCCCAGGGCCTTTGGACACACAGTTTTCTCCTGCCTGGAGCACTCAGATCTCTGTTCTGGACCCTGCCCTGTCTCTGTGGTCCAGATTGTCACCTGGTGTACCTATGTGGATGTCTCCCCACTTCCAATATATACCCCATGATGGCTGTAACGAGTTCTCCAGATCTCCCCATGTGGTGAAATGACCCTGCCCAAGGCACTGGGATCTGGTACCCCCACGCCTATCACAGGACATGAGGCTCCCCAAAGAGCCTCCCCAGGCCCTCCAAGGTGTGAGAGGAGGATTTGCCCTGCTCTTGACCCAAGAGGAAAGAGCTCCACCAGGGACCTTTGGCCTCACAGGCCAGGTGTCAGGAGGATGGTGGCACCTCACATTAGGGGACCTGCTTTGAAACAAGAGCCTCATATCAGTCTCTTCCCACCCCTCTAATCTGCCCCCAAATGACTTTTCCAAACAGGCAGCATGTCCAGCCACAGCCCTGCTTACCGCGAGGGCCCCGGATTTTGGAAACAGTTGGCCCACAAGCCTGCCGGCACTGCGGGCTGATTAAAGTTAGCCACGGCTCTGCTGAACAGCTGGAATTAGGAAGATTCACGTCTGAAGTTGGAGGTGCCAGCACTCTGACTCCAGCAGCCTCTCCAGCAGCACTGAGGGGGCTGTGCCGGAGGAGACATCTGGATATCACTTGTTTCTTCCTCCAGACGCTGAGTCTGCTCACAGACAGTCTGGGCAGCTCTAGAGATGGGCACGCTGCCCTTGGCAGAGGGCACAGACCCCAGGGCAGCTCGGCTAATGTGTAGAAAGCACCAGGCACTAGGCCAGGAGCACAAGACCCAGAAGAGCAAGTGACACTTGGCTCTGTCTTCCCGGGGTTCACAATCCAGGGGTCAACAACACAGAGGCAGGAGCAAGAGCAGAGGAGAGTGGGGAGCCCAAGGTGGGGCATCCCAGAGCCAGTCGGGGACAGCAGATCTGGAAAGGCTTCCTGGAGGAGGTGGCAAACGAGTGAACTCAAAGAATGAACAAAAATCTGTCTGGCAAGACAGGCGGTTGGGGGTGGAAAGGAGACCCTGAGGACATCGAAGAGCACACTGTTGCTGTGTGGCATGAGGATCGGGTGCGGGCAGCTGTCAAAGGCCACAGGGTATGTGGCCTGGCGGAAGGCAGTGGTGGGCCCGGCAGTCTCCAGCCAGGGAGTACATGGACAGAGCAGCCTCCCAAATGCCTGTGCTGGCCATGCTAAGGCACTAACAGGAAGGGCAGGGGCCCTGTGGGGGAGGAAAGGGCTGGAAAGCAGGCAATGGTCAGGGCTGGGGAGGGGGACAAGGGGATGAAATAAGAGGTTATGAGGGAGACCAGGCAGGCTGATGGCACACAATGGAGTGCAGGGAGATGCCAGGCTCCCAACTTGAGAAACATGGGACAGAGGGCCCCAGACTGGAAAGTGCAGGACACTGTGTGCTTGCCTCAGGGCTGAGCCATCAGGTCTTCATAGCTCTGGTGTCCCAGCTGGGTCACAGAGGGTCTTTGCCCTCACCCCAGCTCACCTCTGGGACTTGGCTGGTCACCACCCATGCCCTTTAGCCCCAGCTGGTGCCAACCCCAGGCCAAGTTGAGGACTTTCTGAGGACAGTGGTCATGATGCCTCCACGCCATCCCCCCACCCCTTGGTCTGATACCCCATTTTTATTCCCATTGAAACATCAATCTGAACTGCCATGGGCTTCTTCTTGTGACTGTCCCCTCCCTCCTATTCCCGTCCTCCAGGTTCTAGCTGATCCCACTGTGGCTCCAGCAGCAAATGGGCTCTCCCTCCCCATCACCCGCCCCAGAGTTCCTTTTCAGCAGAGCGAATGATAGCACTGAGGGGAACAGACAGCGCCCTGTGAGGCCCTGGGAGGCCTGTGCTCACCTGGCTGTACGGGTAGAAGAGGGTGCAGATGGCGCAGTAGGGCTCGGCGAGGGCAGCCACCGCGTTGAACTTCCTCTCAGCCTGGAAGCTGGCAGCCTTGTTCTTCCACTGCAGGGACAGCAGGGACCTCAAGGCCTCGGGGTCACTCATGTCCTCCTCTCCGGAGAAAGGAAATGCTTCTAGAACACGGGAGGGTGAAGGGGAGGGAAAAAGTTAAACCTCGCCTGAGGTCCACTCCTCCCCCGAAGGGTAGGTAGTTTTACTGCCCAGAGAATCCTTGGTGCTGTGTCCCCACTCACACAGCCCCTGAGTCTCTCTGCAGAGAGCCCACCAAGCCACCCAGGCTGGGGTGGAGGGGCTGGTCCTGTCTGGGGGTGGGAGATGGGCTGGGCCAAACCTTGGCAGGTTAGGTAGACTCTTGAGCTCAAAGGAGTCAAGAGAGTGTGCTGAGAGTTGGGGGGGGGGGGGGGGAGAGAAAGAGGGTGTAGGAAGGAGGATAGATAGCGTTACCAGAAAATCCTATTAAGGGAAGATGGAGGTCACTAATGGGCAGGTCTCTTCTGTCCTCCCTCCCCGCCCTGCCCTGCCTGTCATTACCAGCCCCTTCCCCGAAGTCTCACTGCTGGGTTTCCTGAGCACCTGAGACTCAGCGCTCCCTGGGAGCCAGTGCTCAATCCTGAGGCCCCAACCTCAGAGCGGCTGGGCTGGGCCAGAACGCCTGGCACACGCCCTCCCAATGAGGCGAGGACACCTGGAGGGACTCAAGGCACATCTCATCTTCCTTCCACTCCTGGGAGCTCAGTCCTGTGATCCATGGAGCTTCTAGAACCCTCCCCGCCCTAGCCTTCAAATCAGATTCAGAATACAAAAGTCATCCAGAAGATTCTCAAATTCCACATGCTTCGTAAGTGGAAGGCTAAAGCAGAAGAAGAAAAATTGACTTCCCAGGGTTTCTGCCCACGAGATAGCAGCTCTGATTCTAGCCGAGTGTTAAATACAAGCTTCTCATCTCCGAGCCTCCATTGCTACGGCTCCAGATCCAGCTCCCACAGCCCATTGTTCCAACCTCTCCAAGGCCCACAGCTGGGCTCAGCAGCCCTGTCACCTCCCCCACCGTGGCCAGCCGGAGGTCTAAGCCCTGGTGCCTCTAGTGACAGCGGCCGGCATGGGGAGGGGTGTTTCACAGGTTTCCTGGGGCCTGAGCAGGCAGGGGACAGCAACCTCGCTCACCCTCATCACTGGATGCCTCTTGCTTGACCACTGACAGAGGGGACCGGGTGGGCGGCTTGCCCAGAGGGTGGCGCCGGCTCTTCTTGATCTCCATCTTCAACTTGGAAAATGTCGACGGTGCCTGAAACACAGGACAGAAAGTGTCTTTGAGTCACAGTTCAGAGAAAGGAGCAGGTTTGGCTCAGTGGTGCCCTCAGTTTCCCCAGTAGGGAGTGAGAGACTGCAGGAAGAGGTGGCAGGAGCCACTGTGGTTTCTAAAACACATACGCTACAGGCCTCTGTGAGCCATGGGCGCCATTCATGAGCAGGGATGCTGTGGCCAGGGCACAGGGACAGGCAGGATCCCCAGCCCCAGGGGCCTGGAGGGCATCCTACCTGCACTTCGCTGGCTCCACTGTCCTCCTCAGGCTCTGTCAGCTCCATGGGGGCTAGCTGCTCCTTCCAGGTGGGGCCCTTCTGGGGAAAGTGCTCAGACGCCTGCTGGCAGGACACACGGCCCTTCTCACATGTGGCTTGGCTGGCCCAGGGCACCATATACAACATAGGGATGATGGGGCGTGACTTCGGCTCCAGCTCCTCGCCAGGTGCCTCGGGGGGCATGACGTTGAGGGGCGGTGGCAAGGGGCTCTCTTCAGTGACTTCAGGGCCAGGGGTCAGCACTGGGGGCTCCAGTGGGGGCGGCAGCACCTCCTCACTGGGGAACTGGATGGGCAGGGGTGGCGGCAGCTCGGGTAGGAGTGGGTGGTGAGGGTGCAGGGGGCTCTTCTTCTTCCGGTCGCTCTTGGCCTTGGCTGGCCGCAGTTTGCCCTTCCTGTCCTCTGTGAGGAGAGAGGAAAGACCGGTCACAGCTGAGGCCAGTGGCCATGCACCCTCATGGGAGGCCCCTGCCCCAGGCAGGAGCTGGCTGGAGTGGGGAGAAACCCCTCTGGCCTTCCCCAAAAGAACACAGGCTTCCAGCAAGTTAAAATCACTGCCGGGTTATGCTGCCAGGTGGCAGGAAACCAGCCACTCCCGAGTCTTAGGGGAGCCCCCACCCCTGCCCTCACCTCTGGGTTCTGCACATGCTCAAAGCACCTCTGGAATTAGCTTCAGGTACAGGAGAGATATGTGTCTTTCCCAAGGGGCAGGGGAGAAGAGGCAGGATTTGTTTTCCTTTCGGATATCTGAGTTTTGTGCATTACTACAGTGAAAACACACAACTTGTAGAATTTTTTAAAAGCAAAGTCTCAAACAACAAACCACAAAGGAGAAGTTACTTAAGAGGAACCAAAAGCAGATGGGCCTGGAGGGCCTGGAACTCCCTTCCCCCTCAAGGGCCAGTGCTGGGGGATTTCATGACAGGTGACAGGGCAGGGTGGGAAACAGGTGAGGGTGTCTTTGTGGCATTTTAACTGGGGGCCAGGATGGGTGTGTTGTTGGGAGAATCATAGTCTCCAGAGACACCCACATCCTAGCTCTGGGACCTGTGAGTGTGGAACCTGAAATGGCCAGGACTTTGCAGGTGGGAGTGGGTGAGTGAAGATGGTCTGGGTGAACCCAGTGTACTAACAGGGTCCTTAAAAGCAGAGGACCTTTTCCAGCTGTGGTCAGAGGGAGCCATGACTACAGAAGGTGAGAGGGATGCTAATGCTGGGAGGAGGAGCCACAAGCCCAGGATGTAGTGCCTCCAAAAGCTGGAAATAACCCTCCCCTGAGGCCTCAAAATGGAGCCAGCCCTGCCACACCTGGGTCAGTCAGGAGGCCCACGTGAGGCTTCTGACTTCCTCGACTGTCAGTGAATATATGTGTGAGGTCACTGTCATGGCAGCCCCAGGGACTCTGCTCTCAAGGATGACAGACCTGGCGATGACCTACCAGGGCAATGACCTACCAGGGCAGGCTGGGAGCACAGTGAACTCTGCAGTCCTCAGGCCTTGCCTGCCCTGTCTGGAGAATGGGCACAAAGATCATCTGGGTGTCCCAGGTCCCCGGGGGTTCAGGATGCTACATAAAGAAGAACACTGGCTGGGAACCAGGGGACCAGCTATCTTGGCTGCCTGCAATGAGGGGTTCCTGAACACCCCAGGATGAGGGTTGTGCTGCTGACAGGACTCGGAGGCCCAGAGTTACCTGTGCTCAGCAGTCTCAGGCTGGGAAAATAGGGACAAATGGAGGGCAAGGATCCGTCCCTCTCCATGTGAAACTAGTGACAACGGGAAGCATAATGAGTTCTGGTGTGCAACACGGCAGCCACATTTTTACCTCTTGCTATAAAAACCTGTCCATATGTCACCCCTGTTCCTCAGCCAAAGATGACGGAATAAATGCTGATGATCTTGGGTAAGGGCTTGTCACTTAACCCCTGATCAGCACTGACTCCAAGAAGGAACAAGCAAGGAACCTGCCTGCCAGCAGACACCAGCCCAAAGCACTGAGAAGAGCCAAATTGCCCACCCACTCCCAATAAGGGGCTGCAGAGCTTGGAGCCAGGCCTCAAGAACCGTGAGGAGGTACCCCATTCCCCCCCTCCCCCCCTTCACTCCCTGCTCCCATCCTCCCGCCTCTGCAGCTGCAGCCCTGCACTGGCTGCTAGGACAGCCCATGGTGTCCTTGGCAAGCATAACTTGTGTTTTTCAAGAGAGGCTCCATCAGCCAGAAGGCAGGGGATGCTCACCCCCACCCTGGCCCTGCCTCCTGGTCCTGAGTCTTCTGGAGGCACCCAGGATTCTCCCCTCGCCTTTGCCCCACCAAGGGGAGCCTTAACCACTCCCCCTGGAACCTACCCTGCCAGACCCTTAGGGGTCTGGTCAAGCTATCTGGCCAAGAAAAGCAAATAATAGATCTCCCTCCCCTCCAGTAGTGGATGGCTCCCTACAACAAAGGCCCCTTCCCCATCCAGGGACGCGGAGGGAGAGAGACGTGGAGCATTGCTCAGTAATGCCCGGTAACAGCACCACAGCCCAGGAGGTGACCACAGGCCTGGGAGATGAGTGGCCAGGGTGGTGTCAGGGCTAATGTACAGAACCAGCACAGAGGCTGGCCCTTAGAGCCGCTATCCTATTTGTGTAAAAGGCACTTTCAGATAAATGCTTTGTTCTCTAAGGAAAGTCAGTATTTCTTCCACCCTTATAGTCCAAATATTGAATGAGAATTGCACCAGTCTGTCATCCTGAGGACAGTGGGTCCAATTTACTCTCCACTCTGGAGGCTCTGCTGTAAAAAAAGGTACACGGCCTTTTCCCCATGTCTCCAGGCTCTGGGAAGCCGAGGGAGACAAACATAGAGGGCCCTTTAGAGACAAGCCCAAGGCCAGGAAGGATACCTGGGGCTCCGGTTCTGTCACCACAGGACTCCCCTCCCATCTCATACCCCACCAGGGGCCACACTGTCAAAACTCAGCAAGCTCCCCACCAAGCTTCCTTGCTGGGGCCCAAGGAATTCTCAAAATGGAGCAGAAATTTTACATTTAAAGGGCTCAGGGTCACGCTGGCTGATAGTATAATACTAAGTGGTTAGAGCATCGGCCCCACTCTGAGGGGTCATGGGCTCGATTCCCAGTCAAAGGCATGTAACTGGGCTGCAGATTTGATCCACAACCCCAGTCAGGGGCACATATTGGAGGCAAACAATTGATGTGTCTCTCACATCAATGTTTCTCTCTCCCCTCCCTTTCACTCCCTCTAAAAATCAATGGAAAAGTTATCCTCTGGTAAGGATTAATAGAAAAAAAAGGGGGGGGGGGGCTTAGAGTCAAGGGGAAAAAGGGAGGCTTAGGGTCCCAGACAGTCCCTCCCCAGTAGGTAGGGCCTCCCACTTCCTGGGGTTCAGGACACAGGTGGGCAGAATGCAGGGACTGCCCCCTCCCCCCGCCGCCCATAGCAGACAAACTGAGACCCTTCTAACACTATTCTTAGAACTGAGAGGATGCCACAGCCAAGAGCACTCCCTACTCCCACTGGATTTTATGACCCTGGCAGGTTCCTTGGAGTTCCCACACCTTCTCTATGGCACCAAGTTCACTGGGATCAGAGGTAGGAAGCCAAGGTAAGGGGTGCACTGAGATGACGTGATAGATCAAGCTCAACTTCTGCTATATGTTGCCCACAGAATGGAGTGGTGGCATCATGACTGCAATCTGGCTTAGAGACACTCCACTCCACGCCCTCCACCCACTGCCCAGCCGGGGTGAGCTGGTCTTAGTCCCATGGTCCAGGCTACTCCTGCATTCTTCCCATGCAGAGCCCGAGGCAGGGCGCAGCCTCGTGTGGGTGAGGGCCGGATGGACTGTGCTGGGGGCGGGGGGGGGGGGTCCTACATGGCAAGATGTGTCTCCAGGAGAAGACACATAAAGGCCCAGCCCATCTGTTCCCTGCTGGGTACAGCAGAATTTACTGTCCTGGCCTAAAGCCAGTCACAAGCTGTCAGGCCATTTCTGAAACCTGGGGCTCCATGACCATGAACTGCCCAGAGGGTGCTCCTGTCTCCTCAAGGCCCTGGGATGTCTCAGGGTGGGTCCCTCTGGCTGCGTGCTCTGCCTGGGAGTGTACAGCACTGGCGGGACCAGCCCTCCTGGATCTTGGCACTGCCCCTACTGCCCTATCTCCCAAACTGTGAGAAACTACAGGTGGGGCGAGAGCACTGTGACATGGCCACAGCCAGACAGGAGAAAGGAACCCCTGCTGTCCCAGCAAACCAGGATTGAAACGGCTGCCTGGGTGAGGGGTAGGCACGGGGGTGGGGCAGAGAGGCTGCTGGTCTTTCCCAGGGCAGCAGCTCTTCTCAGACCACCCAGCGGTGGGTGCAGAGTGGGGACACCTGCAGCTGGGAAGCAGCCTCCCAGACCCTGGGGGCCCCATCAGCCAGCCCAGAGTCCCTCCTACCCACTGAGGGCTTCCGTCTGCCCCTCCAGAACCCATATGTTGTCAAAGTGTCCAGTGTGTGAGCAACAGCAAATGGTCTCCCTTTGCAAACATAAAATTATTGCTCACACATGACATGATCCTTAGCACTTACAGCTTTTAGGGACATTAAGCTGGTATTAAAGGAAGTCTGGAAACCACTTTAAAACCTTCTACTCACTCCCCGATGTGCTTGCTGTCACCCCTGACTGCAAACGCTTATTTGATGCATTCAGAGTTGTCTTCCCACAAGGGCTCAAGAGATGGCTCCCAGGAGGCTCTCTAGCAGTGGCAGCCACATCCAGGGCCCCAAGGGACCACTTCCTTTCCAGAAAAAGATCCCCCACACACAACTCACCTCCTCCTTCTTGGAAACAGGGCTCTGTCACGGGACAGGGACTAGGTGGATGTTGAACACTGGGGAGCACTATCAGCCCTGAGCAGACGCACCATCCCGGAAACGGCCCCATCCTTGCCTGGGTCCACGTGCCGCTGGAAACCATGAAAGCCACAGCCCCGGAGGACTGTACCAAGTCCTGGCCACATGACACCAGCTGACACTGTGGCCATCCCTGCAGTGCAGACCCTTTGGGAAAAGGCCCAGGGGTCCTGGGGTGGGACTGTTGAGGGAAAGGGGAGTGAGTGCAACGACGGGTGAGGAGAGCAAGTGTCCTCCACATCTCCCTTCACGTGGCTTGTGGTTTCACATATAACACATGTTTTACTCTCAATGGACATGGAACCTCCAAGCAAGCTGAGGAAGCAGCCCCTCTCATGAGGCCCTAAGTCCCAGGGCCCACCTCGGAGAGCTCATTTTTAACCATCACAACCCAAACTAAACCACCCAACTGCCTTAGAGAACGTGCATGTTCATTCATATTCTTATGTCCAGGAGCACACACGACAGTGCAGGGCCTGAAGGACCATGGAACGTGACACCATGTACCCCTCCACCCCCACTCAGGGAGCCCCCAGGAGTAACCCAAGGCTTCTCGGTTTTAGTGTGTTTATTCTCAATTATGGGCTGGATGATGTCCCCACACCCCAAATTCCTGTGTCAAGTCCTACTCCCAGTGTCCCAGGGTGTGGCCTTATCTAGAGTCATTGCAGATGTCATGAGCTCAGGAGCTTAGGAGGCCCTAATCCAATGTGACTGGTGTCCTTAGGACAGGGACATTAGGGCAGAGATGCTGGCACAGGGAAAACGCCATGTGAATGCAAAGACGGCATCTACAAGCCAAGGAGACAGGCCTCAGAAGGAACCAGGTCTGACACCTTAATCATGGGCATCTGGCCTCCAGATCTGTGAGACAAGAAGCTGTTTTTGAAGGCCCGTAGCCCATCTGGGTGCTTCGTTAGGCAGCCCAAGCCGACTCAACCGCTCCTTCAACAACCCACTGTCCAGCTGGCGAGTTTTCTGAACTGGAAGTAAATGGGGCATTGTGCACATGCCCCCCGTGACATTTGAGGCTCCCCTGAGAGGCCCCTGGGCACAGGCAGTGACCTTCACCTCTTCCACCTACAGTGGAGGGGTGTTCCCTCCTGTCCTGCAAACTGACGGCCAGTCCCCAGATCTCCCCTGACTCTACTCTTCTACCTCTGTCCCTTCATCTACATCTAGATCGAACACCACAGCCTGCTGGGATCCTGAAAGAGCTGAGAACCCCCAGTTAGTGGTGGTGGGCACGGTATGGGGCCTTCACACGGGGGAGTTCTCCCAACACTCATGGCTCCATTATTTAGCAATTCTTCCTTACTTTTCAAAAATGTCTCTAATTTTCTCCAAAAGGTCTTTTATTTTTTGTTAGCTTTGTTCCAAAGTGCTTACTCTTTGGTTGCTTTTACTGTGGGTAGCATCCTGACAATACTGCCATCTGCCCATGGCTGGCCACAGAATGAGGCCCGACTGCTGTGTGGGGCACATTCAGCTCCTCTGTCTGACCTCAGTGACTCGATGGCTCAGTCCCCACATCCCTTTCTACGTAGGGAATCACGCCTATGCCCAGACATTGCCGGCAGATGCTTCCTCGCCAACCAGCCGCCTTCTCTCTCCACCTCACCTCTGCATCTCCTGGGTGTGTGACACCCACTAGACAAGCACCTGTTGGAACGTCTGGGAAGGCGCCAGCACACAATTCACCTAGAAATGCTCTGTTCTTCCCCTGAGTGCAAGAGGGTCCCCCTCAGAGACACTCGCCCGCCAGCCAGGGGGCAGAGTCACTCCCTAACTGGGAACCAACATCAGCCTGTGGGTACATGCAGGTACGTCTCCAACTGTGACCTATGGATAGTCACCTTGGATGCACCTCCTGGTGAGCACACAATGCTGAAATAGGCAGGGCCATGTTGAACTCGCACATCCCAAGACACAGACAACAGGAGGGGAACTGAGGACCCAAGCAGAACACTCGGTGACTATGGCCTGTGACTGGGGCCTGAGTCGCCACCGCCAGGCAATTGCCATCCGGGCCCCATTATTGCCCGGAGCCTGGGAAGGACCAGAGAAGAGAGGCCCCTCCTCTATCCTGAGAGCAGCTGCTATGTGTGAACGTGGGAGTAGCTAAAGCCATAAATTAGAAAAATGAAACCAGCTATAAAGAAGAAAAGGAAATGCTGTAAAACATGGAGAGGAAACCTTTAAAACACATTAATACTCCAGGCTAACGTGGTCCCGTGCTGTGTGAGGGGTATGTTTGAGACACTCCCACCACGACCCCAGCGCAGACTCACCAACATCTGGCCACAAACAGCAGGCTGCCCTCTTTCACGATGGGTAGACCACACCTCTGCTGTGGCTGAATGTCTCCCAAAATGCCTTATGTTTAAACCTACCCCCAACGTGATGGTCTCAAGCGATGGGGCCTATGGGACGTAATCGGGTCATGAGAGCAGGGCCCTCATTAACTGGATCGGTGCCCTGACCGCAGAGGCCGCAGAGCTGGCTGCTCCTCCACGTGTGGCCACAGCGTGAAGGCAGCCAGCCGCAACTGGAAGAGGGCCTCACAGGACCCGGCCACACGGCACCCCGAGGCTGTGTTTTTAAGCTGCCTGGCCTGTGGTGCTCTGTGAGGACAGCCCTAGTGGACTGAGACCGCCACTCTTCAGTTTCTGGGAGAAGAGGGACTTTCCCAGCATCCCCCAGAATGTACATTTGCTATGAAATGCCTCACCCGGCCAGGAAAGCACATGAATTTGGCTCTTAAAGCGCAGAAACTCTGTAGCCAGAGTGAAGCTGGCTCTTTCCACTGGCTGGGGGTCAGGAAGGAGCTGGTGTGGACACCAGTCCTGGCCTCCCTGCCCAGCTGTAACTGACCTTCTGTGCCCTCTGCCTCCCGGCCCTGCGGTGGCAGCTGGGGATCCTCCTCCTCATCCTCGGGATCCGCCTCCTGTGCAGCCTCCTCTTTCGCACTACCACTGGTCTCCTCGGGAGGAGCTGCCCCAGCCGACCCCTCCCCGGGCAACTTGGGGTCTTCCGGCTTGGGCTTCTTGGTCTGACTGCGTTTCCGGTGAGACCTGGAGAGGGGGAGTCATCAGAAAGGAGGTGAAACAGCAGAGGGGAGAGGCCCAGGCCCGTGCTTGGCAGTATGGAGCCTCCACAACCAGAATCAGGGGCCAGGGGATCCTCAGGAGGTAGCTCCGGGGGGCAGGGCAGGGGTGGTGGAGGGAGAGAGGCCTGGGAGGGGATGAGGAGGGCAATGGGATGGTGGGGTCGTGTCAAAGCGGGTGCTGATGACAGCTGGAGATGGGATGACTGGATGAACCTGGGCTCCAGGAGCCCCATGTGGTGGGGGTGGGAGGGACAGGGAGCGTGATCGCAATGGGAACAGCAGCAGGTGGAAAATGCCTAGACGACAAACAAAACAAAAGGTGCACTTACGACAGGCCCGGCTTTTTGCTCTGCTCTTTCTTCCTCTCTAGATTTGGTTTCCTCTCCTCCTCAGTCTTTTTCCAGTGTCTGCTTTCTTTCAGACTAATTTGTCTAGAATGTAAATGTCAGGGAGTTTTTCTCTAGGACTGGTGTCAACTCCCCAAGACGCCTCATCTAGGGCCTCGACTTGGGTGCCTGCTTCTGTCGGGCTCCCCGTGCGACTCTCCACACTCAGGAGCTCCACGCCAGGGAACAGCCTGCACCCATGCCCTCTTCGCTTACCACCCGCCTCCAGGTCAGGGCCCGGGCCGGAGGGATGTCGGGTCCCCACATCCATCTCGGCTCAGGGTGTAACAGTCCTGGGGGTGGCAGGGGCGAACCTCAGCCCCCAGTGAGAATTCAAGCTGAGGCTTAGCTATGGCTTTTTAGTGAAAAGGAGAGAGAACTAGGTTAAAAAGGAAGAAAAGAAAGCAACAAAGGGGGTGGGTCTGCAGATTAGTGCTAGGGCACCCCTATAGGGGTTCTGGGAAACAGGATCCTGGAGCTTTCCAGGGAGGGGACAGAGCAGCTTTTAGACAAACAGGAGGCGTGTAGTACCCCAGGAGCTCAGGCAGAGACAGGTGTGTGGAGGGGCCCAGCCTTGGGCAGGGCACTAATGCCCTGCAGGGAATGGGGGTGATGCCCTCCCACATGGCCGCAGGCTCCAGGCCTCATGATCAGCCCCACTACTCTTTCATCTATCCCAGTCTGCAACCTGAGAATGTCGACATTTCCAAGAGAAGTGCTGACTGCAGCTTCCCTTGTCCATGAATTCTTCTGTAGCCCCAGTGAGGTCAGACTCCGATATGGAGACCCTATGGGGGCCCCATGGCAGCCACACTCCAAGGACCAACACTCACCAAGCAGAAGCAGCGCTATCTGACCAGGGAAGGGTAGGAGGCCAGGAAGGCTCACCCAGTGGTGCCTACAGCAGCGGGACCTGACAGCCTCCTTGCTGCCTCCCCAGCCCACGCCCACTCTCCATGCTGGCTTCTGGAGTGCCCGCTCCTAACCGTCTTCTAACACTAACCTTTGCTGGTTGTTCTCATGGCTTGACAGCCTAACTCAAGGGCTCTAGTCTCTGCTACTCCATCTCCCGAGCACAATGGGCACGTGACAAGCCCCTCTTGATGTTTGCAGCAGCATGAATCACCCAAAGGTGAAAAGCAGGGAGCATTGGGGGGAGGGGGGTGTCAGGGGTCAGAGGAGGATTGAGCAACATGGGCAGAGGCATGGCATCACACACAGCATGGCGTGCAAGGGTCACTGTGAAGGGATAGGGCAGGGCGGAAGGGGACGTGGGAGCCAGAGATGCTCTCCACCACAGCAGAGCCACCAGCGAATCCACACTGGGTCAGTTTGGGAAATGCCAGGTATGGCCCCCACAGTAAAATGGGTGGCAAGCCCCAAGACCTGGTGGTAGATGTAGCTGGCATTCATCACCAGCTGTCACCTGAGAAAGGGCTTCTCTCCACATCTAGAAATGCTGTGGGGCTACAGGGCTGGGTGCCCAAAGCGAATCCCCAAGCTGGCGCCAGACACCCAGTAGAGGGGTGTCCTCCTACTACCAACTCACCTGGCCTCAGCTTCCTGTAGCTGCCCAGCCCCTTGGTCTCCTCTCTCACCCCACCCCAGGACTGGCACTTCTGACCCTGCCCACCCAATCCCAGAGCTGACCAGGAGTGCCCCCATCTGTCCCAGAGAGCCCAGATCTTCCACATCCCCCAACACTCCACCGGCCTCAGAGCTCTGGGCCCCCCAGCACCACTGGTTCCCCCCCCAAAATGGAGACCCCCAGAATGGGTGGAACTAGGTAGACAGACTTAAGCAGAGGGCTGCGCCCTACTGCAGAGAGAAGGCAAGATGAACGTCAGCATGCAAAGAAATACCCATTTTGTGAGTACATAAGCTGGGAGACTAACGCAGGAAGAACCTGTGGCAAATTTGCCACTGAGTGGGGGGTGGGAGGGGAGAGGCATCCACCAGGCACATCCTAATCATATTCCAAGCATAACAGCATCCCCTGGCTGCTCCCCAGACAGGACACCCTGCTCTCTTTTAGCTGTTTCTTCTCTTAGTTATTTCCATATGTCTCCCCCACGCTGCTTTCTTTCTTTTTTTATTTTTCTCTTTTGGTTTGGCTTTCTTTGCATAGTTACCAAGTGGCTCTTAGTTACCACTCCGGGTGGGGCTATGCTTCCTGCTTCCACACCCACCAGCTTCTCTGCCTGAGTCTGCCACCATCCTCGGTTGTGGTGAAATTCCACGTTTTACATTTGACTGACTATAAACTTGTTCATGCATGCTGCCTGCACTGCAGTCCTGGTTCACTCTTCCTGGAGTAACCGTTCCTCTCTTAGATGCTTGGCCTTCCAGGTTCTCTCCAAGCTCCTGTGTGGTCTCCTATGCAGGGCGCCACACACACCTCCATGGCATCCTTACGTTGAAATCGGTTTGGATTCTCCTGGGTTGGATCTGGTTTCCCTGGTGCTGTGTCCTTCCTGGCTGTTGCCACTGCTTAGCTAGAGCACACTCTAGCTTCCTCAGAAAGGAGGGGAACTGGGAATCTGCATGTCTAAAAAGATCCTATTTGTTGAGACCAGTTTGGCTCAATGGATAGAGCGCCGACTTGGGGACTGAAGGGTCCCAGATTCGATTCCCGTCAAGGGCATGTACCTTGGTTGCGGGCATATCCCCAGTAGGGGGTGTGCAAAAGGCAGCTGATCGATGACACTCTCTCATCGATGTTTCTAACTCTCTATCTCTCTCCCTTCCTCTCTGTACAAAATCAATAAAATATATTAAATAAATAAATAAATAAATAAATAAATAAATAAATAAAATAAAAAGATCCTATTCCTCTCACACATTTAGTTGGTAATTTGACTAGGTACATACTTCTAGGTTAAAAATTATTTCTCTTCTGACTTTGAAGGCCTCTCCTTTCTGTCTATTAGTTTATAGCATTATGATCGCCAAGTCCAATGCCATTTGGGTCCCTTGTTCTTTATGTTGACATGTTTATTCACTCCGGAAGCTGGAGACCTTCTGTTTAACTAGAGCTGTGATGTTCCAAGGAGCATATAATCTTCATCCCCAGTGCCAGACTCTGTACTCTGAAAACGTCTTTGGTTCTTGGGAAATGTTCTTTTCTCCTTTCCTGAAACTCCTAGTAGAGGCTGGAGTGCCTGAACTGAGCCTCTGATCTTCCTGTCCTGCCCTCTAGGAGTTTTCCCAAGCTATCTCCCAACCTCTCTCTCGTGTTTTCTTTGCTCTCATTTTATTTTATTATTTTAAAAATATTTTATTGATTTCAGAGAGGGAGAGGAAGAGAGGAACATTAATGATGAGGGAATCACTGATCACCTGCCTCCTGCACATCCCCTACTGGGGATTGAGCCCACAACCCAGGGCGTGTGCCCTGACCAAATCGAACCGTGACCTCCTGGTTCATAGGTCAACACTCAACCACTGAGCCACACCAGCTGGGCTTCTTTGCTCTCTTTTTAAATGTCCAACAGCCATCTCTTTCCTCAATGCTTCATTTTATAGTTAACAGGTGCTTCTATCATAAATGCACTCACCCGCCCTCTGAGGAGAATGTGAGTTTTCTTGCTTCTTGCCTCATCTTTTCTGGGGAGTTCTGCTTTTCCTTTGTGTTTGGGACACTCTCTGTATCCTATTGAGTTTCCTCAGAGGGTTAGGGACCCCTGGCTGATTTGTGTGAGGGACTAGGAAGATTGTTGATGGCTATGGTGGGAGAGCAGGGCTTGCTGAGGGGGATGGAGAGGGCACGAATCCTGTCACTTCACGGGGGACCCCCAACATCAGAACATGTAGCTTTCCTCTGCTGGGCTATTCTGTGACCCAGAGAGGACCTTACAGTCTCTGACCTTGGGGTTAGAGGCACGTGGGGCTGGCAGCCGGGCTCCCACAACCTCACCTTCAGGAAGGCCTCTCCCTCCAGCCCAGAACTGCCCAGGCTTCACCTCACCAGGCAGCAGGGCCCCCGCCTCTGCTGGGAGGTAGGGTGGAGTGGGGATGCCCCAGCTCAGCAATTCCTTACACACTGGCCTTCATCCCAGATTGGTGCCATCCCAGGAGGTGCCCACATCTGGAACCCTATGCCTTTCCGAAGTTCCTCAGCACCAACTAGCCGCACCCTGTCTGTGAGCCTTTGACCTGAGCTTCCTGTGCTGCAAAGTCATTGACGTTGGCCATCCTTTCCTCCTTTTCCAAGTCTGCCGCGAATGCTCAGCTGTCATGGCCCCCTCACCCGTTCTTTGTCACTCCTTTACAGTCATTTTAGTGGCATTTCAGGGGAGGATGGAGATAAATGAGCACTTTGTCAGGCTTAACTGGACGTTACTTAGTTAAGTTTATACAAATCAAATATTGGAACTAAGTCCAAATAGATGTACTAATATTTCCAAAATGGAAGTAGGTGTCCTTAGACCCAGATGGCAGGAGAGGCAGAGTGGGCTATGCAGTGAGCTCAGAGTGGCTCCGGGCTTGGAAGCTGAGGGGCCCAAAGTACACAATTCCTCTGTTCCCTAAGGCAGGACTGTCAACCCTCACAGGACCAGCTTTACTCAGGGGGGACTTGGAGGCATCCTGGGTCAGGGTGCAAGGGGCTGTGAGCTGTGTACCCCAGGGCCCTTCTTCCCTTCACCCGGACCAGGTGCCTCCTCTCCTCCTACTCCTCCCTGCCCACACAGACAAGTGGGTGTGTGATGTCTAGAGACTTTTGCCCCTGAGAAATTGCTGAGGGCATTCTGAGGAAGAACAATTTAGGAAACATTCAGTAAATCGTCAGGGCAACCCTGGCAAGAGTAGGGTCAGAGGCTCAATGGTGTCCAGTGTCTGGTCAGGAGGCATCAAAGGGGGCGCTGGAGCTGCTCCTGGCTCCTCGTTTCCATGATGAACCAAGGATGGTGGTGAGTGGTGGTGCGGGTGGGCAAGCAGGGCCAGGGCTCCCCCACGGGCAGCTGGAGGCCACAGCTAGTGGAGCGAGCAGGGGCTGGAGTGGACGGGAACCATGGGTCCCAGAGAAGAAGCGCGTCTCCTCTCCTTCCTCCTCTCTGCACTAGCATGGCAGTGGCAGCTCAGATGTTCCATAAGCTGAATGCACACCTGCTGCAACATGTGGTCAATGGGCTGTTTCTCCATATTCTCATTGGAAGTAACAAGGAGGCGGGAGGAAGACAGTCTACACATGGAGAAGGGCTGCGGGGAGGAATGGGTGGAGGGGAGGCTGGCAAGAGACTGGGAAAGGTGCCAGGCTCTATGATGGCCTGTGCCAGAAAAACAGGATCCCACCTGGTGGTGAGGGCCTAGGAGGCCATATAGCCAGGAGCAAGAGGTCCCAGCTTTGTGCCTTGTTTGTCATGGGGGAGGGTCAGCGTATTCAACAAAATTTGGGCATGGAAGGTAAGTCCGAGGGAGGGAGACAAGATCATTCTCTCCCGGAGAGGCCAACTCTTGCCTCTGCTCTAAAATGACATGGGGGCTCAGTGTGGGGGGCTGCCTGGTAGGCTGGACCCTCCATGTAGGGGTAAAGGAGGGGAGCCTGGCTGGGTCGGTCTGAGCAGGGACCTTGGGATTTGAAATGTCAGTCCCATAATCAACCTTTACAGAGAAAGCCCCTCTATGACTTTAAAAAAAAGGGGGTGGGGAAGAATCTGTCTTATTTAGCATATTAAAAGCTTTAAAGGAAATTATATCCTTGGGGACACGACTTAATTTGTTATTCAATCCCTCTGTCGGAATATTACAGCTTCCCAAGTCGGAAACAGAGGAGGCTGAAGAGGGAGAGGAACGCTCCAGAAAGGAACAGAGCGTGACAAGTGAGCCAAGCGCCCTCTGCTGAGGGCTGGCTGGGCTGGGGAATGGGAGGGGGCAGCGGGCAGGAAGAGGGCCTGTGGGGAAGCTTCCGCACACAAAAGGTTCCAGCTAAGGGAAACATAGCTGGCAGCCGGTCCTCTAATCCCATCCATTTCTGGAAGTGCGCTTAATTATTGGCAGTCTGCTCTGCTGACCAATTAGACTGAGCCACAATCCATTAGCCGTTATGCAAATGCTGCATTGGGCTCTGTTCAGCAAGCTCTGGGAGGGATCAGGAGCTACACAGATGGGCCTCACTGAGAGAAGTTGCTTTTCGTGAGAATGCACAGGAGAGCAAGAATCAAAAGGACAGACGACAAAAGAAATCAGCAAAGAGAGACTCACCTGAGTGAAAGCATTCTGGGATGATGGAACTTTCTCAAAGACAGAGGCCAAGGGGTGGGAAAACGTGTGGGGGAAGCCAAGACTGCCCAAGATTCTGGATTCACAGATAAACGCGCTAAAAACTAGAACAGCCCCACCAGGGAAGAAAGTTCTGGACCGGGCAGAGTTTAAAGAGTGCTTCTGCAGAGTGTGGGAGTGCCACCGACCGGGCACAGCCAAAGGAAGGAACTATCCGAGCGCCCCCACCTCCTCAATGGTCCGTCTCTGGAGCCAACTGTCCATAATCAGTGGGGACAAAAGAAGCCAGAAGTGACCAAGAGGCTACAATTGGAAAACCTCACCGGAGACCCAGATCCACCTGCCTGTTCTGGTGTGGCCCCAGCTAAGAAAGTTGTTTCCTTCTTTAACTGGTAAAAAGTTAAAAGAATAATAATATCTTGTGACATGTGAAAGTGATATAAAATTCCAAATCAGTCCATAAATGAAGTTTTATTGGGGCATTCCACATTCATTGTTTATTCAAAGTCTACTGTCTGTGGTGGCTTTTGCGGGGAGAACTTGCCGAACATTCCTTGGGCACCAAAACTGAGTCCATTGGAACTCTGTCTGAGTAGCTCAGAACCTTGAGAGCCTTGACGTTTCCAGAGAAGAGAAGAAAATGGGACCGCCGCTTCTGGGGCTACAAAGTGATACCTAGAGCACAGCGCTCACTGCTATCTCCCTCCTGACAGGAAGTCCATTTCTTCCTCTTCCCGGACCTGCCACCCATGTCCCCATGGCTATGATGCTGATGGCAAGAGGGTGCAGCCACTTCACCCTCTCCTCCCCCACTGGATGCCAGGCCCGAGGTTGGTCAGCCACCACGCTGTCATAAAAAGCATGGGCCAGGAGGGGGCTCCCTGGGATGGAAAGAGGGTGGCAAAGGATGTGCCTGGGAGGATGGGTCTCAGTGACTCCAAACCATGAATCTGAGCAGCACATTATTGGAAAAGCCAAAATGAGCAATCAAACACGAAATGGCAGGGATATGGACCAGGAACTGGACTCCTGTGCCCCACGCCTCCAGCATGGTACCTGCCATCATTCAGAGCCAACCCCAACAGAGACATAAGGCTCTCACCTAAGGTCACAAGCAAACAAGGAAGAGGGACAGTGTGCTGTCCCAGAGAAAAACCAGATGGCTGGAGGATCAAAGGGTCAGCCTTCCAGGAGCTGGTGGACAAGGAGCAGAATGGAAACTGAGTCTAACAGCACAGACACCGCCTGCTACGAGGTCTGCAAACTCGTAAAGGTCAGGGCCTGAGAAACACTCTGACTGAGAAGCAGCAAGATACAGAGAAGAGGAGGAGGAAAGGAAAGAAAAAGAGGGAGAGAGGGAGGGGACAGCCTGCAGCCACCTGCCAGCAGGGTTTGGTTGGGGTGGGGGTCACTTACGGTCACCAGCAGAGCCAGGCACAGGGCAGTTCCTTGGCAACTCACCTGCGGAGGAGCTTTGCCTTGAGTGAGGCCCGGGAGGTGCTCCAGGTGCTGAGCTCAGGGCTGCTTAGGGCCGTGGGCCTGGTGTGGTCAAGCACCGTGAGGTCCTTGCCTTGTTTCCACAGCTCATAGCGCTCTGGCTGCAGGATTCGCACGAAGACGTCCATGGAGATCTTGACCATGTCCTTCCGGCATGTGCACTGTGGGAGGCAGGAGAGACCCTCTGAGCCTGAGGGGGAGCCATCCCATACTAGGCCTTCTATCATGAGACAGGAAACGGTATCTGCTTGGGCCAGGTAAAGGTGAGGCCACTGAATGTCCTTTTCTAAGCTGTAACCCCCTCCCCCGCAAACAGGAGTCTCTGGTCTGACACCCAGCACATGATACCAAGGAACAAGTGCCACGTGGCCTGGAGCAGACACTGCCTGACAGGAGGGTCCCTGTGTCCTCAGCAAAGGGGCAAACACCTGAGTTGAGGACAGGCTCAGATACAGTCCCTCTTACGCTCTGAACACCACCCCCTGCAACAAACCATATGCTCTCAGAGCCTCTCCCTCCATGTTATAGTGTTGTGGTAGCCCCGGGGCAGGCATTTGCAGGAGACATTACACCACAGGCATCCTGGGGACATTTGACACCTGGGGCATTAGAGGCCAGAGAAGCCAGCCAAAATCCCAGAATCTGGACTCCAACAGATCCCTGTCAGCGAGAGGAACCCAGGTGGTCTTGGCCTCCTGCTTACCTGTGCATGAGGCCAAGATCAGATGGGACCGTCCTATTGTGAGAGGGAGGAAGAAACAGAGGGGGACTTCTGATCTAGGGCAGGGCTGGCAACCTCCATAAAGGACCAAGCAATCATCTTTTCAGCTTTGTGGGCCACGTGGTCTCTGTTACAATCTCTCAATTCTGCACGGTAGATGGGAACCATCATAGGTATTACAGAAGTGACATGGCTGTGTTTATAAAACTTTATTTACAAAAAGAGGCAGGGGCCAGATTTGGCACAGGCTACAGTTTGCTGGCTTCTGGTCCAGGCTCCCAAAGATACAGCAGCCCCTGGAATGGGTGACAGACCCTGGAAGAGGGGTCTCCACAGGGACAGCTGAAGCTGTGTGGAAGTTTAGGAAAAGGGTGCAGAGGATGAGGAGAATCTCAAGGGTGACCTTGACCTTGGGGTGCCGCACTTGTCTTTCCTTAAAGTAGGCATAATCCTTGCCTTCTTCTGGGGACACGCCAGTGTCTTCCCTCAGGGACACCTGCTCTGCAGCCCCTGAAAGCTGGGCACTCTCCCTGCCACTTATAAACAGACTCAGGAAAAGCCCATTTTCAACCAATGCTAAAAACCCATCTCCATTTTAAATGCACATCTCTCCCTCCTTTCACAGCCTTCTTGCTGTCACTGCCACTTTCTCAATGGAAAAGCAGAAAACAGAAAGGAAAACACTTAATTAAATGAGGCAATTATGTACCCTGCCCTTCAAGTCCTTCAAACTCCCCTCAATTTTCTCTGGAAACAGTAAAGTATTTACGATACCAAATCTGAGGCTGCAAAAAATGTCCGGGGTGCCAAAACCAATTTGGCTCAGTGGATAGAGCAATGGCCTGCGGACAGAAAGGTGCCAGGTTTGATTCCGGTCAAGGGCATGTACCTTGGTTGCGTGCATGTCCCCAGTGGGGGAGGGGGGGGAGTAGGAGGCAGCTGATCGATGTTTCTCTCTCATCGATGTTTCTGACTCTCTAAAAAAAAAAATCAATAAAATATATATATTTTAAAAATGTCCGGGGCATTTCTTGCAGCCCCAGCAGTCCCTTCCCTCCCCACTCCCAGCCTGGATGTGGAGCTTGGACTCAGAGCAGCACTGACACAATGCAGACAGGGAGAGAATATTTATGGCCAAGAGACTCCCAGTAAACTCAATTCATTTAATGAAAATCTGCAGAACACAGAAAGGCTGGTGGTGTAATTTGGCTGTGGAGTGATGAGACCACAGATGGTGCCCGGGTTTCAGAATCCTGGCCGGACCGTGGCCTCCCCTGCATTACCATCCACAGCAGCTTAAGGGATTTATATCGAGCAGCTCTGCAACTGCTTCCCTTTAAAGTAATTGAAAAAAGCACCTGCGTGCACCCATGGAGGGGGACACATAGATGCAAGCCAGGGGGCCAACTGCTTGGCTTCCTCACCCAACCAAGATGAAGCCAATGGGTACAGCCTCTCTCGAGGCTCTGTGCAGGTTCTGGGTGGGGTGGTTTGTGATGGGTTAGGGGCAGAGACTTGGGGAACATGGGCACCTGTGAGGAAGGAGTAGGAAGAAGGCAGGATCCTGTGGGTCCACAGGAAGGAAATGACAGCCCACTGATTCAGGACTCAGAGACAGTCGCCTCTGTGGACTGAGCAGCTGAACTGAGGGTGCAGGCATGCAGACCCTTTACTGTTTCAGTCTGACAGATTGGGTAAGAAAGTTGCTAAGGTAACATCTTAATAGGAACTTTCAGAGGCTGAACATGTCAGACCCCACAACAGCACCCCCACTTGGCCCTCTTCTGTTTTGGGGTCACGTGCGTATTGGAACATTACTTGCAGCTGTTTCACTTTGGGCCCAGAAGCAGCACAGAGCACCTCCACCCTGCAGGGCCTGTCCTGGAAAGGGGCTGGGAGCAGGCAGGAGACAGAGGCTGGCGGCTGAGTCCTTAGGGCAGCCTCAGAGCAGTGCCCAGGGAAGGACCCGAGTTTGAGAGTAAATCACACTATGTTTTCCCCATCAATTGTCTCCCTCCAGCTGGCTCCCAAACCTTCTGGACAACTGGTGTTTTTATAAGGATCTGCTGGACTGACTAAAGCTGACAGCTTCTGCTGCTTTCATTCCAGCTCCTCCTCTTGGGGGTCCCCTGTCAGCACCGCAACAGAGACAGGCTCCTCTGAAGGTTTGGCCATGTCATTAGTTTCTGATAAAGAAATAGAGCACCAATGGGGGAGGAGGTCTGAGGGGTCCCCTGCATGCCCCCGGGCCTTCTGTACCATCATGGAGGCATAAAGCACTCAGATACCAGAACCATGCGAGGCAGGGGCTCCCGCTCTGAGAGCCACTAAGTAATGAGGACTCTCAGCGGCCAATCCTGCTCAAATCAGCCAGGGCCGAGGCTGGTGGTTCCATTAGTGCTGAGTGGGGCAACTAGGACAGATAAAGGGTAAAGATAAGAGACAGGGACATGAGGGGTGAGGTATAGGATGCGGAGTTCATGGCCTGGGTCCCACTGATGGTCTGTTCTGAGACAAGCTGCTTTTTCACTGGCTCCCCTCCCAGGCCTGCCTGCCTGCCTGTCCAGAGGGTGAGCCTGTCCACCAAGGGCTTAGACCCCCATCTGCTCACCTCATCCCAAGATCCTGGGTCCAGCAACTGTGGCCTCTCCCCATTCACCAGTAATGCCATCAGAGTAAAGAGGTATAACTGGGCTGGGGCTGGGTGGGTACCCCTCTCGGCACCCCCAACACTCATGAGCAGAAATTGGCTCTCAGATGGTGCCTAACATCAAGAGAGGGCTGACAGCCTGCAAAGTGTGCCTCAAAGAGCCCTTGACAGCGCCGCCGTTCCAGGAGCTAGCTGCCTGCAACGGTTTAATTAATCAGCAGAATGAGTTCAATGACGCTCCCTGAATACAGGAGGAACAAGTGCTGTTTCAAATGACAGCCGCGAGAAGGCACAGCTCCACCCCTGCACCGCCCCCAGAGAAAAAGAGGGATGGCTTGGCCACCAATGCCCCATGCAGCCCCAGCAAGGCCAGGCTGCTGGAGACAGCAGACACCAGCTGCCAACCAGACAGAGGCGGAGGGGCAGCTCTGACAAGCCCTGAACAAAATGAGGACCACAGTTCCCCTCAGCAGCTTGTCCCTCACCTCCCCCTCCTAGGGATCTCGCCCAAAGAAGTGAAGAATCCAGACAAAGCATTCTCTGTTTCATTACTCACACACACACACACACACACACACACACACACACACACACACACAAAACTAACCATGCTGTTCAACAATCTTGGACAGATTGGATAAACGATAAATCCGCCCAATTGCACCATTTAAATAACAGAAACGTTCTTAGGATAGATCTGTTATCTGAGGAAATACAAAACACACCGTCAAGAATACAGTAAAGCCCCAATTAAGAGCAAAAATCTTTAGAAAAAGCCAAGAACATTCATCAAACATCAACCACGGTTCTTTTGTTTGTGGAGTCAAAAAAAATTGTGTGCTATTTATTTTTCCAAATCTCTTTATTGAGCAGGTAAATGACTTAAGTCAGAGTGCGCAAATCCTGGAACGTGGGCAAATCTGGCCTGCCACCTGTTTTTGTAAATAGTTTTTTTTGCACATTGCCCTATTACAGCCGTATCGGTGCTGCTATGGCAGAGCTGAGCAATTACTCAAAGACTGCATAGCCTGCCATCTCCAAAGATTCACTAAATATTTACGGAAAGTTTGTCCAGCCTTGATTTAAGTCATAAAATGATTTTAAAAGAGTAACTTGAGGACCTTGGTGGTGACCTTCCCACATGCCAACTTTGGTGAACTGTGAAAACGACCACAGATGTGTGCTATGTGCTGAACTGTGTCTCCCCAATTCCTATGTTGAAGCCCTGAACCCCAATGTGACACTATCTGGAGAGAGGGCCATTAGGAGGTAAATAAGGTAAAATGTGGTCATAGGGTGGTATCCTTTTAAGAAAAGGAAGAAACCTCAAATCTCTCTCAGGCCCCTCACCCCTCAACCTGTGAGGACACAGTGAGAAGCTGGCCATCTGCACACCAGGAAGTCCTCACCAGAACCCGATGGCACTGGCACTCTGATCTCAGAGTCCAGAACTGAAGCCACAACCTCCAGAACTGTGAGAAGTAAATGCCACTGTTTAAGCCGCCCAGTCCATATTTTGTTGACCGAGCTGACTGAGATGGGTGTGCTATGACTGTCCCATTTTTTACTGAGCCTGGTGGACTGCACACTCCCACTACCTGCTTCTAGAATCCAACTCTCAACATGTGCCAGGAGCACTTAAAGCCTAGTACCTGGGGCCTGCCCTCAGGCTCCACCTCAAGGTCACCTGTCTTCTCCCTTCTCCCCCCCCTCCACCTGCAACCTGAGCTGGCCACTCAGGGTAAGGAAAATTCCCCCACCCCACCTACCCCAGAATCCAATGAGACCTC